AACTGGCAAGTGGATCAAAGCTGATCTAGGGTTTTGGATAAGGGTTGTGTTGTTGTTGTTGTTGTTATTAAGTGCCTTCAAGTCAGTCTGACTCATAGCAATCCTGTATACAGTTTCCAAAGATTGACTGGTGAGTTTGAACTGCTGACCTTGAGGTTCAAACCAAGCTTGCAGTCCAGTGCTTTATCCCACAGCACCACAAAATTAACTGGTCCTTCAAATGAAGAGAACCCTGGTGACACTTGATTGCTAACCAAAAGGTCAGTGGTTTGATTCTATCAGCTGCTTCCGATGTAAAAAGTTATAACTGTTTGCTTTCATGAACGATTACAACCTTGGAAACCCTATGGGGCAGTTGTTTTCTGTCCTATAGGATCGTTATGAGTGAGAATTGGCTTGACAGCAATAGCTCTTGGAATAAGAATGACACATCTTTCTTTCCTCAACTCATTTGTACTGAGCCCAGTCAGGTGAGCTCAATAATAATTACCAAGAGCAGCCTATGTATTTTAGTGCTAATGCATGCGCCGGGCTCTTTGAGAAAAGCTTACATCTATTATATTGTTTAAGGAGCTCTGGTGGTGTAGTGGTTACGAATCGGACTGCGAACTTTAAGTTCAGCGGTTCGAAACTATCAGCCGCTCCGTGGGAGAAAGATGAGGCTTTCTACTCCTGTGAAGATTTACACCCTCGGAAACCCTGTACAGGGTCGCTATGGGTCGGAACCGACTCGACGGCACTTAACAACAACAACATTATGTTGTTTATTCGTCGCAATTCAGAGAGGCAGTAATCAAATTCCTATTTTACAGATGGAAAAACTAAGAAACAGAAAGATTTGTTAACATGCCAAATGAAAATGAAAATGTTAACATGCCAAATGAAAAGTTGCCACGGAGCTAGCTCCAACTCATGTGTCAGAGTAGAAATACGGGCTTTTGGAAGTAGAATGCCAGGTCTTTCTTCTGAAGCCCTCTGGGTAGAGTCTTTTGGTTAGCTGCTGAGTGCGTAAACCCCTTATACCACCCAAGGACTTTGAATGTTGTTGTTTAGCACTGCGGAGTTCACGCTGAGTCATAGCGACTCTGTATAAGGTTTCTGAGGCACAGCTGGTGGATTTGAACCGCTGACCTTGCGGCTAGTAGTCCAGTGCTTATCCTACAGTGCCACACCTAGCATAGTGGTTACGAATCGGGCTGTGAACTACAAGGTCAGCTGTTCGAAACTACCAGCTGTTCCACAGGAGAAAGATGAGGCTCTCTGCTCCCGTAAAGATATTTACAGCCTCAGAAACCCTGTACAGGGTCACTATGAGTCGGAACCAACTCTATGGCACATAACAACAACAACAACAGATAATAAATAACAATCTAAGGATTCAAATCTAGGCAATCAGAGCCCTCGCCCTTACTATTCTGCCATCTATTAGTCTTTGTACATCTCAGGCTTGGCAGCAGGGTTTAACCCAATGAAAACACACACTCTAACCCCTATTGACTGAGGTGAGTGTGGAGCTTACGCTGAGCTCAGGCCCTGGGTCTGGAGGTGCGGTTTTCCAGCCAGCAAGGAAAGTAGGAAAGGTAAGGGCCAGCTCCTCTGGACTCCCATGTGTGATGTGGTCAGTGAGAGGAAATATGAGGAAGGGACATATCCAAGCAGGTTTCCAAAGGAGCCAAGCCACTCTTTGTGCCCTTTCTCGCTGGTTCTGTGCCCCTTTTCTCCAAGGCCCATAGCTGCTACATCCTCTGCAGAACTGCTTTCTCTTAAAGAAGCTGATCTCTAGAAAAGTCGTGTCTCCGAGTATAACTGATTCCAGCTGGATGTTAGAGGACTAAGCTGAAGTGAAAGGATAGTAAGGGAAGAATGAGCCCTCTCCTCTCCACTGCCTGGGCCTCCCAGTAACATAGCCATTTCTGTATTTCTGAAAGAAGTGGCTTTAATGCAAATGATGCCACAAGTAAGAGAGATATTTCTCAACATGGAAAGGTATTTATGGTTCTGCCAAAAATTGAGGATGCCCAACCACCTGTATCCTGGAGATGGGTTGTGATCTGGGCACTTGTAGAAGGGCTTTATCACAGCTCCTGGCCCACTCATTGTCTGGTTTTCTCCCCACTATCGTGGGCCCTGGAAACATCCCCAACCTGGGCTCACAGTTTGCTACTGGCCAAGTCCAATCATACACACATAACTGAAAATGAGTAGGACTAACCTTTCCTGGGAATATTAACTCCAAAAACCATGTTTGCAGATAGTTCTTAGAATTTTCCTGACTTAAATTTATGTTTCAGGAACCAGAGCTTCACATCTGTAGGTGGCACTTTTGGGGATCATGTTGTGGTCTCCCAAGTCCTGTATCCTTCTTCTTTTTTTAAGTTTTTATTGTGAATTGAGTGATGGTTTATATGGGAGAACATCAGTTTTACATTCATCCTATCATATTTCGTTTCATTGCAATGGTTACAATCCCACCCATGCATCAACATTTGCTTTCATTCCCTCCAGGTTTTTTTGTTATTTTTTTTTGGCTGTACACCAAAGCACTCAGGAATATATAACCATTCAAACAACCAAAGGGTATACCCCACAAGCTTGCCCCCGGTCATCAGCACACAGCCCCTCTCCCTCCCTGAGTCCAGAATCCCCAGCTGCTCCATCTCTCCACGTCATCATCTCTGCCTCCATCTCTGGCTTCTCTGGATAGGGTCCCACTCTTCTCCCTTGATGGTCCCAAGGTCCTCCACTCCTAAACTGCATGATCAACCACTCCCCTCCTTTTGTTACAAAATGTCTACTTTTGCATTTGCAACACTCACAGTCAGTCCTGATAGCAATTATTTACTACTAAACCACAAGAGTCTTATCCCCTTCTCCTTTCACCAGCCCCATATGGACAGGTTGGAAACCATTCAGTGGAGATTCTACCTTCCCCTGCACTCACTGGAACTAGGCTCCTTCTTGAAAGCTTGTAAGCCAGTCACTTCTTGCTTTTGTAGTTCCCTCCCACCCCATTTTGGGTAGCCAATGTCTAAGTTGCCCATCCCTGTCAACCCTGTGTGCCAAAGGGGTAGGAATGATCCTCGCTAGAAAGATTCGTTCCCTCTTTTGAGCTACTACATCCATAAGTATAGGTCAAATTCATCAAATTGTAGCGGATTACTCTTTTTTTCCTCTTCTTTCTTCTTCTAGTTGAGTTCTGATCATCCAGCCATTGAAGCCAGCTCAAGTGGGCACTATCTGAAAGTATAGATGTTCTTGCACATCTCCCCTCACTTCGTATCAGCTAGATGCTTCACTCTCCGCTCTCATTTTCTGTGGCCATGTCCTTGGGCCCAGGTGGCCCCGGGTCTTGCCATACTGCTGGCCAACCATGTCTCAACCCAGGTTGACAGGAGTCTATTGAATGTGGTTGGACTTGGGTCACAACTTCATTGCTGCTTTCCCCCCACTTCCCCTTATTGGTTGACCAACGGGTCACCAGTAAGACCACATGCCTGTTCCTGTATTCCCCTTGAGTCTCAGTCTTGGAACGGGGTTTGCCCTGAGGGGACCTGACCACTTGCCTTGATGGCTCCCTGGCGAACAAGTTGCCTGTTCTTGTACTAGTCAATCAGACTGCCGTTATTGTTTTTTATTTTTCCTGCTGGTCTTTCTTTCAAGAAGTATCTTCTGTTCTTCTAGCAGTTCCAGGCTGGTCTGCTTGTCTTTTCAAGTGCAAATTTCACACCTCAGAAGATTCTGGATAGGGATCAGGATTCCATCTATGGTGTTAGGCAATACAAAGGCTCCGCAGGAAGCCTCTTTCACTGGGCAAATTCTAGCCCCATTTTAGGTATTTCAAAGAGTTATAGTCTGAAGACGAACTTACAAGCTTTCT